TAAAAAAAATAAAAATAAAAATAAAAATAAAAATATATATATTGAGAGAGAGAGAGAGAGACTCGGTCTTGTTGTGAGCTGGAGAGGATCGGAGAAAGCGGCTCGGAAATGGGCAAAATGCTGTCTTCCTGCGTGTCTTGCTGGGCGTCAAGCCTGCGATTGTGCAGGTGTGGTTGTACCAAATCGCGACGGTGCTTGTGAATCGTCCTCATGCCATCATTATCCGGTCTCATTCCGCTTTATTACGAGACCCCTCCCAGACGCATAGCCAACTCATCCACTCATGCACCAAAACAAGTACACACACACACACACAAATAAACATGGGTACTTGAGGAGAGGGTGGGTGTGATTATGCTCAGGGCGTGTGGGCGCTGTGGTTATTAGTCCTAATGACAGGCTGAAGCATTCCCAGACTCCTCAGAGCCAAGTAGCAAGCCGGCGCATCTGCCAACTGGTGGGACGACGCAAACTGCTGGCTGCTGGCTGTTGTCTCTTGTCTGTAGGCAGCAGACGAGTTAGAGAGAGAGAGGGTGAAGGTGAGGGTGAGGGAGGTTGTGATCGCGACTGTCCATCGCGTCTGCGTCGTCGTGTCCGGGACCGGCCGGTTCAAGCGGGACACCCTTTGGCCGTCGTTGAGACGTCCGTTTCACTCGCATTGTTGCCCTGCCTCCATTGTCCCTCGAGTCTGTCGCTTCCTGTGTGTGTGTGTGTGTGTGTGTGTGTGTGTGTTGGGATAAAAAAGTTTCGGTCCACCCAACCAGCTGATAATCGAGACATAAACTAACGCATTTTTAGGTTCGTCACTTTGGCTCAGCTCAACCGTCGTGCCCACGTCGGTCCAGCGTCGTCGTCGTCGTCATCGTCGTGGTCGTCGTCGTCGCCGCCAACTGGCCTCGATGGGCAATTTGGCCAAACGACAAGAGACAGCGCAAAAAAAGCAACCAGTCAGCACACTTTCCCACCTAATCCCAATGAGGAGGAGGAGGACAACATAATGCCTGAGCATGCCCATTGTACACACACACACACACACACACACACACATACAGAAATGGGTATAAAGACAATAGGCGAGTGTGTATTGTGGCCTAACGAGGGGTGATTGGACGTGGAGACGCGCGCAGCCCAGACTGGGTCGGGACTCCGGCTCAGAAAAGGCGGCATTTGGGTCGGAAAGTGGTGCGTGTTCACTCACCGACCGGCCGGACAGCGAGTGCCCGACCGAGCCGGAGACACGAGTTCGAGGCCGCTCGGAGAACGCTTCTACCCTCCGCCGGTCTGCTGGCTGCGACAGCGACTGGCCATCACATGCGCCTGAATCGATTCCCGTCTGACACGAGTTAAAGAGAGAAAGAAATAAGAGACTGAGAGAGAGAGAGAGAGAAAGCAAGAAAATGGGGCTAGAAGAGATGACAGAGAATCGTTCAAGAAAGCGAAGACTGGCAGTGTTGATCAGCCCAGTTCAGTCTGTAAGACCGCCACCTTTCAAGCACTGCGTCTTGTGGCGTCGTTGTGAGTCTTGTTGCGTCTCGTTGCGTCGTTGTGAGTCTTGTTGCGTCTCGTTGCGTCGTTGTGAA